AATTTATATATGTATTAGCATATGCGATACATACGTGTACACCTGTAAATATATGCGAAAAAAACCATCATCATCGTACACCTGAATCGGTTGGAAATAGAACAGAAATCGAACGAACCAAAGCGAGTAGATTAGAATGGTGAACGGTCTCAGTGACAGATAGATCGGGTATTTACTAATGATGCTGAATTTAATGTTTCGGTTTACATTTTACGGTTTGCATGCACATTTCACAAAAGTTTTCAATATTACGTGTGTTTTGCTGCGTATTTATTCTGAAGTCACCAACATTTTCGGAAAAGCCCTATTGTGTATGCAAGCGCACACATACACACAGACATTGGTATACATAGAATTACAATGACAATGCTCCCAATGGCAAACGAGAATATGAAAGCATAAACTGAACAATTTTCGGTTTTGAACTATGTGTACATGTATTGACGGAAATTGTGCAATCTTACTTAAAAATCAACCCGTTACGTTTGTGAGTGAATAAAATATGTATTAGAAAACTTCGATGATTGAATTATAAAATATATATGCAAATGGAGCTGTTTCAAATGTTCAAAGCACCTTCTCTTTCTCTCTTTTGCATACACACACACAAACACAAACGCACTCAAACACATGCAGAAGATCATAAATATATACATTGTATCGAATGAGGAAAGGCGGCAGTGACGGCGACGGCGACAGCAAAGAATGTGCAAAAATCGAAAATCAAATATGGTGATTGAGTAAACAGTGTAGTTTTGGTATTTTGGCTCTCTTTTCTCCATTTCCTTCACATTTAGTAATATATTTTCAAATAATGTTGTTATTTTTGTGTAAGCATTGAGGGAAAGGGGGTGGTGGTGGTGTTGCGATTGTTGGAGTCGAGCTCTTTTGGTCAGTTTTCTACGCTCTTCGATATTTATACGATGTGAAACATAGTTCGATGAAACGAAAAGTAATGGTGCTCCGTGTATTCCATATTCTCTGTTGTGAATTTTTCGATTTTGGTTATTCGTAAAACCATATAGGCGAACGTAGGTTACTGTGCATTGCATACACCATCGGCGTATACATCCCAAGCAAACACCACAATAATGTATATAGCAAAACCACAATTTATTTATCTTCAAATGCAGGTTTTGTCTCTAGTTGCGTTGCACGTTGGCAATTGGTATTCCGTGATTCGATGATTTTCGATATGCGAAACACACACACACACACATAGACATTTGCACAACAACAACAGCAACATCAATAGCAATAGAATCCCAGAAAAGAGGTAGCCGTCGTGCACAGTCTTCGACAATTATAAGTTGCATGTATTTTCACATTTATACCGTGTTACCGATTTAATAATAGGGATTTTCAGAGGAAAAGAGAAAGAGAGAAAAACTCCCTGAGAACTGAGCACTTTTTGGTTAACATTTTGGATTGGCAACGATGTAAAGTGAATTGTTTAATTCGGCAACGGTTGCATACAAAACATACATATTTCAATCGTACGGCTCACTCACTCACTCTATGTTTTATTTTATCTCCATTGCATTGCCATGGTGCAATCTCTCAAACAAATACGTACATATATAAATTTTATTATACGAATTTGTACAGTGAAATCCAATGCACGTACATCCATATTCACATAAATACATACACACACGGTCGACACACATACAATTCAAGTTGTTTTTGGATTCAAAAATCCGACGATGACGACCCACGAGGCACAAATCGAATAATTTGCTTCTTCGATCCGTTACCCATTTAATGTTACAGGAGTTAAATCCAAAACCGTAATTTATAAATATTATAAATTATCAGTGTAGAGATATTAAATATTGGGATGCTTGGCTGACGGTTATTGGTACGCGCGTACATTTGTTCTCGTTTGTGTCGCGCGAATGCATTCGCTTCGAGATGAAATGGATATGATGGCATTCAGAAACAAATGAGCACAATCAACGTGATACATACAATGCGAAAAGAATGGATCAAAATTCATGCAACGCATCCATTCTTTACCTTTTTGCCACTGGTAACGATACAACACCGTTATTTGTTTGGCGTTGCCGTTGAAAACGAAAATTTCCGATGATTATATGCGTATTATTGTATTCATTTTCGGGGCGAGAAAACTTTTCGTTTTGAATTCGTTGAATACCATGAAAATATCTCTGCACATATCTCATTATACTGGATCATCAAAACTCTGAATAAAATCTCCACACAAACACGCTTGCATTCATATACAATAAAATACAGTTTGGCTGGCAATGAGACAGTAAGGAGAAATAAAAAAAAAAACAAGACTATATTGATTGCAATGATAATAATGTCAACATTGACGACGTCGATAATGCAATTTCATGAACTCTGTCGATAACTGAATTAAAAACGATGAGTTTTGCAAGAAATTTTTGGTATTAATGCATTCAAATAATCAAACATCCGGTCGTTATTTATTCAGAAATATTTGCACATTCCTTTATATTCTGCAAATTTGCGTGTTAAGACTAGAAATCATTGTTTTTCTGTGTTGAGACGAGCCTTGGTGATCATCCTTGTTTTTAGATGGCATTTTATTTGATGAAAGATCTGATTGAATGCATTAACCAGGACTCATGCATACATGCTACATAATATAACGAGATAATTCAATGATTGCGTTCGTTTGAAATATTATTTATGCTCACATATTCATCTCATTCTTTATATTTTAGAACACCGAATGATATTCAATCATCGCATTGTTGTTTTTGTTTTTAAATTTCACCTCGGTTACTCTCTGTTGATGGAAGTATTCTCCTTTTATCAAAAAAGAACAAAAACTACATTCAATTTCAATTCAGACGATTGCCGGGGGCAATTCTGGAGTATGACGCCGAATCATGGTGACGCCCTATGAAAAAAAAAATCACATTTTTTTATTTATCAAAACAATATTGAAAAATAATGATTGATAAACATGTGACGTAACATAAATTTTGAAAAAGCACACATAGAGGGGTCACTTATTTTCTTATTTGTGGAATTAATTGCCGCCGGAAAATTGGTATGTATTTAATAACGTAATTAATAAACATTCCCAACGGATGTTCAAAAGAAAATAAAACACAAATACATGTAGAAATTTTATTGACAGTTTGTTTGTTGAAATGTTGTATTTTTCCACAGTCATTGTTTTATTCTAACTTTGCCTAATATGGCCATTTTTATGATCGAAATAATATAAACAGCAGCAATCTATTTCCAAATTAAATTCCGGATGTTAAAACACGCCATTCGGCCAGATACGAATTTCAGTTTTATGACATGCCGTTTTGAATTTTCTACAAGTTTTATTCTATTTCCCTGTTCTCTCTCGCTCTCGCCTCTCTCATTTCATGATTCATTTCCAAAAATAATTCTAAGCTGTTACACAACAATGCTATTCGTATTTGATACAAAAATAGTTTTTCAATTTCCCAAATTTATAATAGTTATGTTGATAGGAATGTTTTTTTATTACATAAAGCATAATATCGATTTCTTATGTTGGACTAATCAACGATTTTTATGTGATTTTTAAAATCATTTTTGTTATACATAAACATAAACATAAACGGAGAAATACTGAAACAGTTGAATAAATAAATGAAGAATCTACACGTACAGTGGTACATTTTAGAGAAAAAAAGACACGAAAAACAACGATAATAATTGTATCGTCAACAGAGAAATGACAAGTGTACATTGAACACTGACAACTTATATTGTTGTAATTATGTGTCCGTAATTATTATGCATCATTAAATTATCATCATATTGTATTGATGCACATTTTTTGCATGCAACATTGCTGAATACACGTGTACTTACTCTCTATATATTCATTCGATTTATATTAAATGTCAGTTGGTATTTATCGTTGGTTTTTTTTTTTTCAAATATTTTCTTTGTATAGCAACAAAAACTGAGAATTACTATAGTACTGCATAGAAATGCCCAGTTAAACGAAGAGTGATGCAAGAATTTCCTTGAATACGAAGTGTTTGGAGAAATTTTTTCTATTTCCTTCATGAAAGAAGAAATGATGTAAAAACATTTTTTTAGTCCTAAATCCAGATTATCATTGATTGAAAAAGTTTTCAAGATTTTGAATTGATTTTTTACATGTATTTGAGTCTTGTGAGTCATTGTAGATATAAATTATATCACATAATGTTTAAAATAATTGAATAATTGGTCCGATAATAACTAAAAAACTGGCATGGATTAAAACAAAAGAAATGAATGATCTAATGTGATTTAAAAGATTCATTCGCACCATACTTGATTGTACTTTTCCGCGTTTTTTAAGTGCTCATGATAATTTTAATCGTGAATAGCGTGAATTTGTGGCTGATAACCAATTATCAACCTAGAGGTAGGGAGAGTCTTTAAGTTGATTTAAAATGTAATACACTACTACCTTTTATCTGAAATATGTGAATTATTTATATTTGTATGTTTGTTGGGAAACAAAAGAAGAAGAATAAAATTGTTGATAACTAAGAAAAAAATCAATCTTCTTATTTTAAAACATTCCCTTCATTTGTTTTGTTGTTGTTTTCTTTCTCGAAAAAGAACAAAATACCATGGGCATTATATAAAGCTCGCTATAATAAGAAATATTCCCCTGAAAGAAAGTTTTATTTTTTCAGAGCGCCCAAGTATATTATTGATGACGTTATTTACGGCAATGTTCTCAATATTTGGCTATTTACCAACAGCTAATTGTTTATTTTCATTTGTGTATTGCAAATTGTTGTGCAATCGAGAAACAAATAAACAAATGACGAATAATGTGTAGCACAAGGACGTACAACAAAAGAGCCGCCGACTGAGCACGAGTGATTTTTTTTTGGCGATATTAACCATTAATTGATAAAACGTTTGTGAATTGCATTGATTGAATTGGGTCGATATATTTAAGTGCGATTTGACTTTTTGTCGGCTTTCTAATTTCATTCGCCCGAGTTTGAATATAAGTCAATAGCGGTTTTTCCCGGATGGTCTTTTGAAGTAGACAGAAGTGTTTTGATTTTAAATAAACAATGTTCTCAATTGCGAAACAAAATTGTGTCGGAAATTTTATTCGGAATTTTCTTAAAACTAAGCAAAAGTCATTCAATTCTTTTAAATCGTTTTCAATTGGCTGCACAATGAAAAATGTTAATATGGACGAGCACAACGTCGACTTAAGGTATAATTAGATTAAAATTTGTCTTAAGCTGGAATTAATATTCGCTTTCTTTTTCAGGAAAGATTTAAATATTTTTAGAACTTTCACGGCCAAATTAAGACCCGATTTGATGGAAGAAAGCATCAAATTTAATGCATTATTTCCAGGTAAGGAATGTTTTAAAATAAAAATAAAAAATTCTCCCACCCTTGGGCTCTGCGGCACATCATTTTTGTATGGATTTTTTGTAGATGTGAAACGTGAAATAGTTACATATATTGAGAGATGTACAAATAAAGAAACTGCTGAATACATTGACAAAGTAAGTATTTGATTTAGTGAAGATTTTAAATAGACCAGATTTTTTTTTTTGGTAAAGTGTCTCCAATATAATGTGCCAAATGGAAAGCAATTTCGTCCCATGCAAATCATTTTGGGTTATAAGGATATAGCCGACAAAGATCAGCAGACTCCAGAAAAAATGCGTCAGCTGTACATGATTTGCTGGGCACTTGAAATAGTGAGTGAATTAAAAGATGACACAAATCCGATTTGAAGATAATTAAAACATAAATCCATTTAATTAATATAGGTGAATACAATTGTGGTAATTCATGACGATATGATTGATGGAGGTTTAGTACGTCGAAATAGTCGATGTTGGCACACACTCGACGATGTGGGAATGCATGCTGTGAGTGATTATATACTTGTTCTTCATAGTGGATACTTTCTTTTGAAGAATCATTGCAAAGATTTGGCCTGCTATTCGCGTTTATTTGAGTACATAAGCGAAGGAGTATTTTTCACACATATGGGTCAAACTATGAACAAATTTATTAGATTCGATGCAATGGCAGATGTGGATAATTCTTTGAAAAATATGCGACAAGTGCATTTAACAAAAACCGGACATTTCTTATTCTATACACCAATGTCGATGCTAATGGCTCTCACTGGGTATGATATTTGAATGTATTTTCTAAATTCATTATGAAAATGTTATAAAATTCCCACTCAAGCCATAACAATCGCGAATTTATCAAACACATTTGTGCTGAAATGGGTTATTATCATCAATGCCAAAATGATGTATTGGATATTTTCGATATTAGCGGCGTACTTCAGAAAACAACTAACGATATCGAAAATGGTGAATGCTCTTGGTTGGCTACAACATGTATGCAACGCGGTAACGACGAACAAAAACGAATTATGATTGAAAACTATGGAAAAAAAGGTGAAATAATTCCATTGTTGTTCGTTTTAAATGAATCAAAAAAAAAAAAATGTTTTATTTATATTTGATGTAATTTTTTTGTTGTTATAGATCCAAAATGTAGTGAACGTGTCAAACAACTTTTTATTGATATGAGTATGCTTGAATTGTACAGAGAATTTGCATATGAAAAATATGATTCAATTCGGGCATTAATTGTGGCTGCCGAATGTGATGAACCAGTAAAAAATGTACTATACAATATACTCGATTTGCTATTTCATCGTTCAATGGTTAAATCAAATTAAATATAACATTTGACTTGGTACAATTGACAGGGTGACATTTATAAACTGTAGTGTGTGTGTGTGCTTTTTTTTCTGGGTGAAATTTTGCTCAATTTTTATTCAATTTATATATGATGATTGTTTAACATGTGTTCTTCTGATTGATGCGGTTTGTATCAATGTTTTTTCATTGTTACTTTGACACTTGGGACATGGGAATATCAATAATTTCATGAGCATTTTGACAAATAAAAAAAATATTATGCATTTAATTGTAATTTGTTTCTTGCATTTTTGACAAATAAAAAGTTGTTATAACATTTTTCGATGCCAATGAGAACCAACCAAAAACATGGTAATTGGATTAAATACAAAACATCGCTTTATATTTTCCGTCAATCCATGAATATTTGAATAACTTTTGACTTTTGATTTTTTTTACTTCGCGAATTATATTATTGTCACTTTCAAATATGGTTGCGAGAGAAAAAAACCGTGACCGAAAACAACTGGATCAAATTTCATCAATACAAATTGTATAAATTCATTTGACGTCTATTTATATGTTATCGAACATTCGCCACAAGAATCCATTATTTCGATGGAAAGATAATTTTGTATAATTAAGAAATTAAAATAAAACAGAAATGATGTCGAATCAATATTATCATCGTACGTGTAGAGCAAAAACAGAACAATATCAAAAAGTGTGCTAATCAAAATGAATAGCGCAGAGTTAATAATATAGTTGAAAACAGGTATTGCCCTTGTGTTCTCCACTCAATAAGAATGTTTTCCGAATGTCATAAGTGTTCAGTATATTTATAAAATTTTCATTAAAATAAGGAAAACGTCATTTCAGGCCCATTCATTGAGAAAACCATTCGGACCGATGGACGAACAGACGCAAAAAACGGACAGAAGAGAATAAAAATGGGGTCATAGCTAAAACAACCGAATGAGATCAGATGAAAAGCAGTTCTTTTTATATTTTTATGTATCCATATTTAGAAGAAAATTACATGTTTGCATACGTTTGTATTGGTGTATATATTATTTTTCGTTTTCGAATAAAACCAAATAATAATAAAAAAATCTCTCATGCGAATTCTCCACTTTTCTATATATATATATTTATTCGATGTTAATGATGTACACGCTGACTTCTTACATTCTTCTCGCTTCACGCGGCATGTAGTAATACTTTGCAAATATTATACTTTAATTATATATAATTTTACTTCGTTGAGTCGTCAAGCAATACGGTGGTATCATTGCATTTTTTGTACCGCCTGATATGGCAGACTTTTTGATGAATATTTTTCGATATTTTTATTTTAATTTGGCAGCTTACTTTTTTTTTTCTTTTGCTCGTCAATTTTCGTTTCGTTTGCGTCAGACGAATGAAAGTAGTTTTGAATTAGAATGAATTAACATTGTTGAAGCAAATAAAAAAAAATTAATTTTCATTGAAACACAATGATTGTTATTAATTTGAGCCTCAACTGAAATTACTTTTCGTCGAGAAAAAAAGTTCTTATGTTCCTTGCAGATTCAAGGTATATATGAAAAGACGGTTTAAATCAAAATCGATATCGAAATTGGTGTAATGAATGGGAAACAGAATTGACTGACCTTGAACCCATACCGAAAGCTGAAACATTTATTGAAATTCGGTTGGTTGTGCACGAGACATAATATTTGACTAATAACACAAAGTCAAACGAGTTCATCGATGGTATGCAATTTTCGAACATGATAATGGGTCACCTTCAATTGTTTCCATTCAGGTGTGAAGTTTCGCGTATAGAACCAATTATTTGCATAGTTTATTGACGAAAATGCTTAAGATATAGATAGAATGCGTTGAATGGAGAAGCAATCATCTCTTAAGATAATAATTTCGACATTCTCGTGTAGCATTCAAATCATAGCAAAATTATTTACATAATATAACGAAAATCTGTTCCACATATTCATGAAAGCACACAAACACATGGTCACAAGTCATGCAACATATCAACATACCAAACACGGAAGAAGGCTATATGCAATTTTCGCTAAGCAAAAAGAAGTGGTGAGACCAACAAACGGCATAACATAAATTGTATGCATTTAGCACCATTTCACCCATTCAGAAAATATCATGTTTTGCAAGTGAAGAAATAAAGAGACGTATAGAGAGAAAACGGGGAAAATGCCGAATGAGAGCGAGAATGAGAGAGTCGAGTCGAGTTGGATAGAGTCAAGGCAAGAGCCCAACACAATTGTAAACACTTTAGGAATTTGTGCTATAAGAAAGAGAATGTATCTAAAGCAAGTACTTGGTGTACATAAAATTTGTCTGGCAAAACGTCTAGCCGGTACCATACAGCAGCTTCATTCGAAAAGTGGATGCTTTATCGACGTCGCCACGACGCTAACAATTTAACTACCAGCAGCAACAACAACAACAACAACAACCTTAATAAGAGTAATATTCAACAAGAACAACAACACCAATAACAACAATAGCTCTCTTACGATATTGAGATGGTTTTCGTAGTTTGTACGCTTAAACGTCTCTTTATATAGGAGTGCTGATTTCATTTCCATATTATGTATTCTCATCAGTATCAACCAAATGTATACATGCGAATATTCATCCATTGTCGTTTATCGTTTTACAATGCTGTTATTGTTGGTGGTGATGATGCTACTGCTTTCTGATGATGTGAGAATCAATATTTCTTCCTTTTTTGGCAACGTAGTATGCGTTTACTTGTTTGACTGGTTTAAATTGGTTTGGTATGCCACATGGTATGCGTTTGTATTTGCTTCAAGACGTTCTTGATCTTGGCTTGCATGCAAAGTATTTCTCCCATTGACGCCAACATTTTGTTCATTGAGATATTGTTTGGCTTGGCAGCTGTTCTTGCTATTTACACTATGCTTTCTATGTACTACATAGAGAAATGCCAACAATTTCACAATTTCACTTTCACTTTCTGTGTGAAACAAAATTCATTCGGTTTATGTTGTTTTTTTATCTTCACTTTCTTGACATGACACTTTGGCATTGCTAGAGCGGTTCAACTGATTTATTACAGTTTTTGCTTTGAAGATCAACCTACGTCATTCGATTTACTAGAGCGTTACAGTTGACCCATTCACAGTGCAACGACATTCATTGAAACACCGATACCAAAGACGGAAGGAATGTGTGCGTGAGGGAGAGGGAGAGTGAAAGACAGACAGACAGAGAGTGAGAGGTGAGGAAATAACAAAATGAGAAATACATCCAGTGTGCTCAAAGGATATTTGAGGCATAACACTCTCTTCGATGTGGTTTATGTTCATTTTAGAAATGCCCGTCTAAGGAAAGCAACAACAGTTTATGTGCAATTCAAAGATGCAGTTCAAAGCTCGAAAGCGTAAAATTCTTGTTGATAATAATTCCTACCATTGGCCACCTTTTTTTCTAACAAAAAAAAACTGTTTTTAACAGAAACGGAAAAAATATACTGTTATCTCTGCTTTCTTTCTTTTCGGTCGAAAAAAAAATTGGTATAAGATTATATATGGCGTAATTAAATGCGCAGTCAATCTAAACATAATCATTTGATTAGTATCATTTTGATGCAATGAAATGGAATTGATTGAAAGAATCTCGACGACATGGAAAAAAGAATGTTGCGATGACCAAATGGTCGGCGAGGAACGATTTGCATACTTTTTTTGTATTTATATAAAAAAAAAAGCAAAGCAATTATTTGGATCCTTTGCCAGAAAACGGTTAACCGCAAATTAGTCCAATCAACACATAAATGTAAATGCCGTTGTCGTCGGATCAAAACATTGCAACACTTTCGCATACGAAAGATACGAAGCAATTCACAAAAAACACCTACGAATTGGAATTTCGGCAAATAGAAAACTGCCACTTTATTATTATAGGTAATATAGAAAAAAAAGATGAGAGACAACGATTGCCTTCTAACGATATATTTTGTGTTCTTTTTTTGAAAGGAGCACAGCGGAGATCGGCTTCCAAACTGCCACCGGACCACATATTATTATTACTTCTTTTGTGCTTCGTTCGGGAATTGGTTGGCGAAGAGAAATCAAGAGTGTGTATGTGTGTGTGTGTGCATTTATGTTACGAAGGATCGGAGAAAACAGACGAACCGACAAATAAACAAAGCAAAAATTGACTCAAACCGAGATTTGGTGAGTGTGGTGGCAAAGTTAATAGTCAGTGCCAAATGCCTTTGAAGATGTTAAATTGTTGGATACATTGTTTCAGAAAATGAATGCACACCCATATAAAATAGCATGGTCGTGCTCAACCACCGGCCACCGACATTTAGTCGAACCAAATGAAAGTGGAAAATAGATTTTATATAGAAAATGCTTTCCATTCAATTAAATGAAGTTAAATTTTACCATGAAATGTGGTTTTTGTAAGTTTACAACATCAATACGATGACAAATCACTTTGTGAAACAAGACATTTGAATAATTTCACATTGATAGCCAATTAATTTGGTTAGTTGATTTTGAACACGCGCGCTCTCTCTCTCTCTCTCTCTCTTGTTTGATCTGCTATTTTCGTCATTTTCGTCAAGTAAATCAAAAGTGAATAAACATCCGCTGCACTAAAGTTATAAAATGTCTCCGGATGTGTGACATAATGTCTTGGCTTATACATGCATATCAATAAATCATATAGTATACTGCGTTCACTTAATATAGCAATTGTGTGGTATGAAGCGATGTTTTCATTTGCTCCCCAAAACAGCGAAAGTGATTCGCATAATATCACTACACAGCAATAATGTTTACTATTGTAGCACACAGACGGCACACCGCACGACAAATAAACAAACCAACGAAGGCCAAAGGATTGTTACGAGAGGGTATCTCTAGCGTGTACAGTGTGCCACATAATTTCGTATAATTTAAGATTTTTCGGCTGAAATATCTTACATTCTTTCGATTTCAGTTTTTAGGAAGTTTCCACATTTTTGGAAGGGTTTCAGCATCAGACATTTCCCATATTTTTTACTTACGGAATATACAAGATGACGTTCGGATCTGTTCATTGAGCAAGGAACAACGTATTTCGATTGAAAATCCCAGCTTGGAGTTCTTTGTCTGTGCTCTAATTTCTAATTGTCCGAACAATTTGTTAGTTTTTTTGACATATTTGACCAGAGAGTCCATA